TGTCACAAAGCGCCAGTCTACGTCTCCTCATCCAGCCCCAGCTATGGTAAGCAAAATGGCAGAGACCACCGTTAATGCACGCATGCATGTCTGTGTGTTGCATGTCTCAGGGGACTCGACGTAATGCTTCTCTTCCCTTAAATCAATACTTTCTGCCCGATTGCTAACTGCAAAGTCACTTTATCCCTCGCTTAGACAGTCCTAGCCGTAGACAGAACAGAACAGGACGGAGCAGGCCAAGGAATTGGCTTTCCCAGAGAACACCGTTCTTCAAACAGTCTCCTCCTCCTCCTCCTCCTCATCATCATCATCATCATCATCATCAACCATCACCTCTTTCTCCTCACGTCCATGTGGAGGAGACGAGGGGAATCAGTCGCTTCTCCATTAGCCCAGCAACCAGCCAAGCGCAGCATCAGTTACATGATTGCTCCGTCGGTAGTCTACGGCTATTGGCGGATGTTAAGAGAACGCGTCAGCGCTGCCGACATCATGTAGTCGAGTGGGCGGTAGGCGGACCGGTAATGAAGAGACACACACACAAGCAGACTCAAGGTCTGCTACCTACCCAGTTCAGAATGGCAGCACCTGACAGTCAGGCTGAACCTGAGGGTGTGACAGTAGACCAGCATGTCTACAAGTCCATATGTAAAACTCTCTCTACCTCTCTCTTTCTTCTTCTCTCTCTCTCTTTTTCTCTCTCTTTATCTATCACTTCCAGACGTCAACTCAATTAACTCCAGACACGAGGCTGGCAGCATCCAACCTGGCCGGTGGACAATACACAAAAAACCCACAACCCATTAGGGTATATGCGGATATAAACACACACACACACACGCAGGGGAAAATAGCTACGTGATAAGCAGTCATGAATGAACTTTCGCAATCGTCTCACCACCGACTTGACCGCATCTTGTGCCTTCTGTGATTCAGTTTTGCCAGGTTTGGATTACAATTGACCACCTCGAGATAGTAATTTGGCCGACTGTTACATGTCTAGCCGGGCTGTGGCTCACTTCAATTCAGTTTGAGTGGGAGTTCGAAGCTTAAATAAGGTCTCTAGTCCGTTTCTATAGCAGAGGATGATCGAGAAAGGATAGTGAATTTTCCCACAATGCGATGGACTGGCCTCACTTTTCATTACGTTCATTCAGTCTTCCCTTGCAGGAGATATGATCATTCAGGTTGACCTTCTGTCTCGACACCGCCTCATCCGCGCCCAAACGGGAACCGAACGCGAGAAATGTGGCGTATACATTCAGCATATTACCGCTGCACCGGACTGCAACTTCACAATGTTTAGTGGAATTGTCGATGAAG